GGTATATGGGGGTATTGATGGGGTTATTGGGGGTTCTGGTGTGCCGACTGACCACTGACCGGTAGGTGACGACCAATGGAACGGTCGACTGGTCGTCCCCGACCCATCTAGGGGTGCCAACCATCAGTGTGACTACTCTGATTAACAGTCATTTTTCTGCAGGAAAGGATGTGAGGAACAAAAACACGGCTGATATCAGATCATTTTGCTTGGCCTGTGTTGCAGGGTCTACAGAGCGGGGATATATCGTTGGTGGTGGGAACCCATAGTTTGATTTCTGAGGGAACAGAGTTCTGCAATCTGGGAATGGCTGTAATTGATGAGCAGCATCGTTTTGGTGTAGAGCAGCGTGCAAGACTTAACAGAAAGGTAAGTTAAAGAGTGCAGCGTTTCAGCAATCCCACTACTTGCTGCCACTCTGTCCTTGTGCGGAATCGTCTTTTCCTCTGGCTTTTGTATCTTTTCCCACTGCTTGCTGTTACCATCATTGTGTAGAGTCAGGCTTTTCTCTTCCTATTTCCGGAAAGCAGACTCGTGAGTCTGGCTCTGTTTCACCATGTGAATTAACACCTTGGCATCGCCGTCTGCACAAAGGTTGGATATGTTCAATGAATCGAGGAACCCTTGCAAAAGCCTCAGAGGCTTGGTGTAGTGCTCAATACTGTAAGGGTTACCAGCCCTGATAACAAATACTGAAATCCAGCCACCAGGTTGACGACGGTGCATGCACTGAATCAAAGAACTCGCGCCAAGTTCCAGGGACCTAGTGCGTCGAGGCTGGCAACGGACTAAACCCGACACAACAAAAAAAGAAAAAACAGAAGAGAGAAAAAAGAGAAAGTAACCCAGCTGGTATTCAAGGTGTTTTGTGCGCCTGTACTTCGTGTCTATTCACTCGATGTGGTTTCGTCAGACGCGGACCACAGGGCAGAACAAGTGGCGGCCACTCCACTCGAAAGAAACAGGAAACGTGGCTGCCCAGCAAATTGAAAAGAAAACCGGATGAGTGGGTGCTCTCCCAAAAAAAAAACAGACCCTTAAACCTGAAAGGTTTCCATCCACGAAGCGTAGCTCTCTCTCTCTCTCTCTCTCTCTCTCTCTCTCTCTCTCTCTCTCTCTCTCTCTCTCTCTCTCTCTCTCTCTCTCTCTCTCTCTCTCTCTCTCTCTCTCTCTCTCTCTCTCTCTCTCTCTCTCTCTCTCTCTCTCTCTCTCTCTCTCTCTCTCTCTCCCCTTCCTTGCCCGTCAAGTCGAAGTATTTCATGTCTTCCCCGTGAGCAAGTATCTTTAAAACAAAGAAAATAGTTAGTTGTTGAAGTACTTTGTATATTCAACCTCGAGCAAGTATCTTCAACTGAAAAAGAGAGTATCTTCCGACCCTGAGCTCTCATCAGCTGGAATCTGTGGCAGGATGGCGGAGTCTTGCCAGCGGCTTAAGGGCGTTCCAAGGAAATCAGCAATGCGAACAGCAATGAACCAATTTGTGACATCTCACAGAAGAACCGGCATCATTGAGCCGAAATTGAAAGCAGAAAGCAAAGCGAGATTCACACCAAATAGGAACGAGCAAAGCACTGAAGTCTCTTGATAACGAAAGCCCTTCCAATGCCTCCAATCACCAAGACAACAACAATTTAGCCTTCCCACAGGCAGCTGTACCGCCGAATCTACCTCTTACGACTCCTATCAGACTAGCCTACTTATGTCTGGTCCAGGTGTCATCATCCCAATGCCGCTTGAAGACTCTGATTGAACAGCCTGCCTTCATTAACACCAGGTATGTTCCTCCATACACTGCCTCTCTCCCTTGTCCAACTCCCTGTTCCACCAAGGACCTCCACTACTCCGTCACCCAGCTATGGAGTGAGCAGCCTGGCTATGGCTGCTGCTGTCCCTCTTCTTCTCTTACCTCGCTGCCACCGTGCAGCTTCCTCCTCGGGTGCAGCATCAAGCAGCCGCTCGTGCAGCACTGTCGCACGCCTGAATGCCCAAATGCGTCAAACGCATCAACAACACAACCCAACATAGATCCAGTACGTTTGACAATATCTCTTTCTTTAATGCCAGTATCACTACCAGAAACCACAATTCCTACACTCTCATTCTCTAGATTCAGTACCATTCCTTCTGTGCTGGCTGGAGAGGCCGAGCAGCCTCTGGCCGAGAGATGGTTAATGGAAGGCCCAAAATTTGGGGGGTTTCGCCGCATCACCACAAGCAATGTCGTTGAAAATTTCGCGAACAAACAAGGCAGGCTCATAATAAAAACATAAAAAAATCAGGGAAATATGGCAGTTTCGGTGAATTTCGCCGAAACTGACACCACCTATTAACCATTAGTTGCCTGCGCTCTGGGCTCTTCCAGAATCTGCACGAGGCCTGGCATCTTTAACTAATTAGGTGAAGATGCTGCACGTGTGTAACAACTACCTGGGCCACCATTCTACTGACATTGGCCAATACTCAGGCCTAGCCTAATTTTTGCAGGCCGGCCTTCACCTAGGGCTGGCGGGGCCCTTTCCTGGCTGACCAAGGTGATTAATCTTTGCAGCATATTATTTTTACTATTACGTCTTGTTTGTCTTTTTTGGTCTTCGAGTTTTATATCTTGAGGTTTTAGCGTTAGAGTTGCTATGCTTCAACTTGCTCTACCGCAATATCGGTGTTGCTTTTGAATTTGGTTCTGAGGATGGACAGTCGATGCTTTCGAAGCGATGAGGTGGCACATCCTCTTCTGGCGGGCGGGGGCCTTTCCTGGCTGACCGAGGTATTCCGTCTAGCAATGATGCTGCCCAGTGTAAAGGAGTCGTCAAAACTTTGTAATTTGTTTGATAGGCCCCTGACCCCGGTTGCCAGCAGGAGATAATTTCCACCAATGGATGGAGCCTCACCGGGGAGCGGAAGCCTGAAACCCCAGGTGGGTCATCCCTGGGCTTCAGGATGACCTTTCTTTTGATTTTCAGCTTAGGTGAGCGAGACCTCCCCCCGCGGGCACAACTTTCCATCCCAATGCACTCAAACAAAACGCATACCGGGGAAACTCAACCAATTAAAAAAAGACACTGGACCCCCCCCCCCCCCTGCCTCCAGCAAGACTTTTCACCCGGGCCAATTTCTACCCGCGGCCACTGGTACCACCCCTGTTCGGTTTTTACTGGGGCCACATGAGGCATCATACCTTCGCCGTTAATAGGATTAGGGCTTTAGGGAAGGGAAATTAACGACAATTTATGTACCAGCCTACCTGGTGTTTTTTTTTTTTTTTGTATGTGATTTTTTTTACATAATTGTCTGATTGAGGACGCCGCCCGACCGGTTGGGCCCGGGGGGGGCTCCCGGGTAAACCGGGCGGCCCAAAAAACCGCCCGGGAATATATATATATTGAAACCGGGGTCGTTCTGCGCTCGACGAGAGGAACCCGAATCTGCAATAAAATTTTGGTTTTGGGGGGCGGGTGTGGGGGGGTTGGTCTGGGTGGGGGGTGCTGGGGTTGGGGGGGTGTCTGTGATGTGGCGCAGATGCACTTTTTTTTTTTTTTGTATAAGGGGTGTGTGTGTATACAAGGGGTGAGAGAGAGAGAGAGAGAGAGAGAGAGAGAGAGAGAGAGAGAGAGAGAGAGAGAGAACGGATCCCCTTAACACGGCTTAGACGGCCCATGCAGGCTACCTGAAGGGTCCTCGCAGCCATGTAGCGCAGACTCCCCCACCAAAATCGAGGCAGGCAGTGAATATGAAAGTAGAGCACGAGCTGGCCGAATATATACTCAAGATTCGAATTCAGGTCTGTGTTTCAGCAGTAATGGTTTGCTCACGTAGCTAGGCCCTGTTGGTCTCTGCACGTGACTCCCGAAATGTGCAAAATTAGAATGAATCTTCTGCAGAACGTGGAATAATACGCCACCATATGTTTTGTCTTTTGTGCATTTGGTGAGTAGAGGCCTTTAGGGCCACTGCACGTATTCCTAAGAAAAGAAAAACGAGAAAAGAAAAGAAAAGCGAGAAAACAGAGAAATAGTGACCCATAACCGAGATGCACAGACCTGAATTCGAATCCAGACTATATATTCTCTGCCCACCCTCGCGATGTACAAGTTTGAAGTGTATCTCGGCTTGTCGTCGGGTCCTAGATAATATGCTGTACAGATCCTTCCAAAAAGAGGCTGGACACAACGAGGACGTTTTTATTTTTCTACTTTTTTAATGCGCCGCATCACTTGTGCGTGCGTGCATGCGCGTGCGGCACCCCCGCGCATGAGATGCGCCGCAGGTATGATTCAAACACATCTCTCTCTCTCTCTCTCTCTCTCTCTCTCTCTCTCTCTCTCTCTCTCTCTC